TTGATCCGCTTGTAGTAAACAAACCTACTACATTCATTTGCATCCGCCATGTTTTCTACAACTGTCTCAGCATTATTTTCAATGTACAGTATGTAGGTACTTGGCTTGTCTTCTATTTGACACATCATTTCACATCTGCCTTTATTAGTCTATTAGTATATCTGTTCTTGGTAACCACTGCTAGATTGGTGAAGTAGTGTTTTTAAAGATCTCTTATTTAGTAATGGCATTGCATTTTAAGTTCTAGTATTAGTACAGGTAAAATTAAAAATGACACCATGAAAAATAGAAGACACTGCAACTTTAAAGTGAGATGAAACAAGATCCTTATTTGCCTAAAATTATCCATATACTATACTGTGAAAAATGCTGTAAATTGAGAATGCTTTATCTTCTGTCCATTTACTTTCCATTTTAATTGATAAAAATGAACTATGAACACTTCTATTTCTATTTTTCACACCTGCCTAAGATTTTTGCACAGAACTGTACTTTTGCATCGACTTCCTAATAGCCCTGTGTTCTATTTCTTAATTTTTTTTTATTTTTTTTTTCATCTTCACCAGAGTTTTTAGTCTCACTTTAACCTCCCTAGCGGTATGATTATTTCATATTTTTGGTGCTGAAAGCGGTACCATTATTTTGCATGGAAATATGTATTTTTTTTTTATTGTATGCTGTAATTTTTAGGAATAACTCACTGAAATCTGTCTGAACAAGAGTCTAAATCATACATTTAATTCAATAATATAATCAAACCAAAAAACACTGAAATTTGAAATATAGCGCCAAGTTCGCACATCGCTGAGCAAAGTCGCAAAATCGTTTTCAGTGTCTGATGACGAATTTCTCCACGAATCATCACTCAATTCTGCCAGTGGTTCTGATTTACTATCGCTGTTCTCTAGCTAATCTAAACCCGCTTTTGACCTAAAGGGACACTTTTTGGACGCCATGGACTTTTCTAAGTTTCCAGGCAGAAAGAACAATCAAAATGCAGACAGGGGACAGGACAAAGCACTCGGGACAAAATGTATGTGAAATGGGTTGAAACAGCAATGTTTTACTATGTAAAATCGTTTTTGAAAAAAAATGACATTTTTTTTATATTTTCAAATTTCCCGCTGCCGGCGGCGGTGCCCGTACGTCCCGACGTCACAGAGACCGGAACACAGGAGGCGGATGCCGGCATCCGCCGGAGGAGATGGCTGGGGACGCTGCGGGGGCACATCGTGGGAGCAAAGGACAAGGTAAGTGCTGCAGGGACTCCCTATGCAGCGCCGCATGGTAAGCCCGAGTGTAGCTCGGGGTTACCGCTTTTGGTACAGACATTTTACCCCGAGCTACACTCGGGAATACCGTTAGGGAGGTTAAGGCTACGTCTACACTGAAGCTCCCTTGGACGCCAAGCTCTCCTGGGCGCTGAAAAACACTAAACGTGGCAAAAAGGCATGTGAACGCAGTACTACATTTAGCACTTGGGTGTTTATTAATTTTTATTGGCCAGAGTACTTGCCAATGAAATGAATAAACACTAACTGTGGCTAGATCTTAGGCACGTTTACATGCGTTTTTTTGCTGCGTTTTGCAATTTTTAGCCAAAACATTCCTTTCCTGACTGTGATTCTTCTGCGTTCAGGAGAGGGGCGTTTAACTGCCCCTAAACGCTGCTGCTCCTAAACTCTGATAAAAGCCTATATGTGCATGGACACATAGGCTTTTTTGAGTTGAGTTCAGGGGTTTTGGCAAAAAAATGCAAAAAGCTTCTAAACTCGCATTTTTTAGAAGCAGCAGTGTACATGAGGTCTAAGTAGCATAGTGCCTTCTATTTTAACTGTACTTCCAGAAATACACTATAGTGCCAAAAGTATTGGGACACCTCTCCAAATCATTGGATTCAGGTGTTCAAATCAACTACATGGCCACAGGTGTATAAAATCAAGCACCTAGGCATGCAGACTGCTTCTACAAACATTTGTGAAAGAATGGGTCACTCTCAGGAGCTCAGTGAATTCAAGCGTGGTTCTGTGATAGGTTGCCACCTCTGCAATAAGTCAATTTATGAAATTTCCTTCCTACTAAATATTCTACAGTCAACTGTTAGTGATATTATAACAAAGTGGAAGCAACTGGGAACAACAGCAACTCAGCCACAAAGTGGTAGGCCACGAAAAATGACAGAGTAGGGTTAGCGCATGCTGAAGCGCACAGTGTGCAAAAGTCACCAACTGTCTGCAGAGTCAATAGCTAAAGACCTCCAAACTTCATGTGTCCTTCAGATTAACACAACAGCAGTGTGCAGAGAGCTTCATGGAATGGGTTTCCATGATCGAGCAGCTGCATCCAAGCCTTACATCACCAAGTGCAATGCAAAGCATGTCCGTCGGATGCAGTGGTGTAAAGCACGCCGCCACTGGACTCTAGAGTAGTGTAAACTTTTAAGGCGTCGGCATACCAAGACATTTTGCAGTATTTCATGCTCCCAACTTTGTGGGAACAGTTTGGGGATGGCCCCTTCCTGTTTCAACATGACTGTGCACCAGTGCACAAAGTAAGGTCCATAAAGACATGGGTGAGTGAGTTTGGGGTGAAGGAACTTGACTGGCCAGCACAGAGACCTGACCTCAACCCCGTGTAACACCTTTGGGATAAATTGGAGTGGAGACTGCTAGCCAGGCCTTCTCGTCTGACATCAGTGCCTGACCTCACAAATGTGTTTCTGGAAGAATGGTCAAACCTTCCCATAGACACCTTCCTAAACCTTGTGGACAGCCTTCCCAGAAGAGTTGAAGCTGTTATAGCTGCAAAGGGTAGGCCAACTCAATGGTGAACCCTACGGACTAAGAATGGGAAGCCATTAAAGCACATGTGCATGTAAAGGCCTGGCGCCCCAATACTTTTGGCAATATAGTGTATTGCTTACTGTATAGAGATGACAATGCTGTATGCAGCGTTCTGATCCTCTACACTGTTATCACTGTATTATACAAAGCACTAAATGCACTAAAATGCTGCATGACAGCACAGACACTGTGGGAAATATAGAACAGGACAAATCACACTATGCAATGTTATGGCGACACTGTTGGCCCACCAAGGATGTTGAGTGAAAAACTGAGAGAGGAAACCTAACCACTTGAGGGAAAAAGGGTGTTTCTGGCCATTTTAAAATTAAAACCGTGACTGTGCGTTACTGTGGAGCCTGCCCTGCATGTCAGTGTTCACGTAACCGAGCTTGATATCAAGCTAAATTAATAATACATGGCCAATGTGGATCCTACTTGGAAATACCATCTGGAATATTCTATTTTCCTCTATGAAATACTGCAGCATTGATTTAAAAAAAAAAGCCATTTTGAGGCCAACGATCCTGGAAAAGTGAACCGCTACGCTTTTGCTGCAGTTTTTTTTTAATTAGCCCTATAATGCCTAATAATAATAATATGTGTAGATGTTCTTTAGAATGAGGAAAATAGGGCTTTAAGCTAGGCACTGTTAATAAACACCCCTGTGTAATGAAATCAAAATACCAGTAAATGCTGCTTTGTAAGTGTAAAAAACCTCAAAGAAAAATTTCAGGGACACTTACTAAACCCTCTCCACATTCTCAAATGACAATTAAAATTTCCTCGGCGTGTAATGCTATTCATTTTAGTGGATAAACAGGCATCGCATTTGATGTTGCTCAGAACCACACTGGTTAGAAAAAGTCTAAAAATGTCAGAATACTCTGCTGGTGCGCCCACAAAGCTGTTCATTGTCTCACTTGATTTACCAAGATGTGTAAACCGCCGTGTGCTCAGACCTCTCCTCCCTCTTTATTTTTCTCTGTAACACAAAGGTAAAAAAATGAGAGGTCACTGAGACAGGAAGACGTAGACAGCAATAAAAGTCCATCCCCACTGGAAAACGAAAAAATGTGTGTTTGACATCAGAGAGATTTATTTCCTGTTTTTTGACCCACAGAATCACCAGGACAGGACGTGAGGGCAAATCTTACCAATGGGCACACAGTAAATAGGATGTTTGTGCTGGACTTTAAAGTGGAACTCTGGAAAATGGTTTTCCCCAACACTAGCAGAAGCTGGACTAGAAAGCAGAGTCATTTTCCTGATTGTGACGTATAGTGAAGATGTGTAAATTGGGGGGGGGGGGGGGGGTTGTTCTTTAGCAAATAAGGTTTTTTTTTTTTCCCCTTAATGCAGAGAATGCATTAATGTTTTACTAAACCCAGGACCCTGCATTCACTATATCTGGTCTCATACAGTACACAGAACATGGAAACGCAATTATTTTAGTTAAAATAAACTGCTAAATACCATTTCTCATCATCCGTATATAGCAGTCTTGTGACTTCTATCAGTATCCAGCAGAGCACTGGTTAAAGCTTGAAGGAGGAGTTTTAATTATCCTTTAGTTGTCCTATGAGGCTGCAGGACCCCTGACCCTCTGTCTGGACATTGCTGATCGGCCCTGTGCTGATCACATGCACTGTCCCAAGGAAAAAAAAAACTCTCTAGCAATACACATCAAACTGAGCATGTGCAGCTTGCCCCCAAGTCTCTTTTCTATCAGCAGATGGTTTGGGGACACTAGTTCTGGTGACCTGGGGGTCCTCAAAGGATTCTCCTAAAGCGGTAGTAAACCGCATCCAAAAAAAGGAAAGAAAAAAAAAAAATACCTCCTGCAAACCTCCTGCAAGGTAAAGCCATAATGTGCTAGTATGCATTGCATAAAAAAAAAAAGTTTTGAAAATGCAGTTATTTTAAGTACCTTAAAGTGGTTCTAGAGGCAACCCTTTTTTTTTCTTTTTTACCTTAAAGCGTTACTAAACCCAGAACCCTACATTCACTCTCCCACTGTATACAGAACATGGAAATTAGATTATTTTAGTAAATATAAACTGATAAATACCTCATCAGCAGTTAGAGCAGTCTTGTGACTTCTAACCGTTTCCAGCTGAGCACATGTTAAAGCTTGTAGGAGGAATTTTCTTTCTGCTCTGAGGATGCAGAACCCCTGACCTCTGTATACACAATGCTGATTGGCCCTGTGCTGATCACATGCACTCTCCCAAGAAAAAAAACCTCTCTAGCAATACACACTAAACCGAGCATGCGCAGAATGTCTCCACACCATATGTCTTATCAGGAGATAAGGAGACACTATAAGAAGGTGAGGATCAGAGAAGTCAGGATCAATACGCCTTTTTAAACAATGCAGAGTATTAACCCTTTAGGTTCCAAAGTGAGTATAATAGGCATGTTTTAGTGCATTAAGATGAACACTGTCCCAGTAACTGTATTGCCCCCTCACATCCCTATATACTTGCCTATCTCGATACAATACTGAGCCGTCTGCAGTGGATGCAACGTCTGCGTGACTTAGATGGGCCAGCCTGGGTCATTCTGGACATTGCTCAGTATCGTGTGCACTGGCATACAGGAAACATTCAGAAAGATTCAGTCTCCAATGAACATTTGCACACTGACGTATGGCTGGCTAGTAAAGAATAAGTGGCTGATTCCACCGAACATCGCTGATGAGTTTAACAGACTGAAACAATACACCAGCCAGACACTGAACATTCATGCAGTATGCACACTGTGCACAAGCTGTACACATCACCTTACATCAAGCAAAAGAAACATTTTAATTCATGACCATATGGTAGGCACGGGTGGGGGGGGGGGGGGGTCACTGTCTGCACTGAACACTGAAGAGATGAGTTTATCAGACTAAAACAGATCAACAGATGCACTTTGAATAGGCAAGTATGGGGAATGATGGGTAATTATCATCCCCGTTTATCCCCATCCCCAATTATCATGCCCAGAATGCCCCTTTTAACCAGGCCTCTACTAAAACAAATCGTGTGTTTTGGATTGGTGTATCTTTAAGTGGTTGTAAAGGCTGAGACTACATTCACACTCAAGCTGAGCATTTTCAGGCATTTTTTCAAGCGCGTTTTTCAGCAGTCTTTTGAGCGGTTTTTGGAGCAGTATTGCAAATATTTTTTTTTTTCAGACCTTTTTCATTTAGGCTTTTTTGATGTGACCATATATGTGCAGTGATGCTAGAAAAGAGGGGAGCTTGTTTGGCTGAAAATGCTTTAGAAAAAAAAAAACACTCAGAAACATGCTGTGCAGGCGTTTTCCATTGCAATCTATGGAGACAAAAATGCTCAAATCTACCTGAAAAGTAGCTCATGTACTTTTTTGAAAGACAGGTCTTTTGCTACAGGTGACAAAACGCTCAAATGTGAATAGCGGCTATTGAAATAAATGGGATTTTGCTTGCTGAGTGTTGAGTCAAAGTGTGAATGCGGTCTAAAGGTTTTTTACCTTGATGCTTTTTCTGCATTAAGGTAAAAAAACCCTTTAGGCAAACCCCCCCCCCCCCCCCAAAATACTTACCTGAACCTGATCTTGATCCAGTTCTGTTCCAGAGTGGCGGTATTGCTTTATTTCCCTTTTCACTGGATGACATGTTTGTTTAAAAAACTACCTTTACACTTACTTTAAATCAGAAGTTACAGCTGAATTTAATGCCAATATAATGTGAAAAAAATGAATGCACCAATTTACTGCCACTATGTTTTAACCTCACTGGAGGTAATCCCGAGTGTAGCTTGGGGTAAAGTTTCAGCACCACAAGCGGTAACCCCGAGCTGCACTTGTGAATACCCTGCAGCGCTGCTCCGGGATCTCTTCTTCACTTACCTTGTCCTGCGCTCCCGCAATGTCCCCTCCCCTGCAGCATCCCCGGCCATCTCCTCTGCCGATGCCGGCATCCGTCTTCGGGTTCCTTTCCCTGCGACGTCAGGCCGAAGGTGGGACGTAACCGGTGGGAAATTTTAAAAATTGACATTCAATAAATACACTAAAATTGCATAGTAAAACATTACTGTATCAAACCATTTCACATACATTTTGTCCCGAGTGCTTTTTCCTGTGCCCTGCCTGCATTTTTACTGTTCTTTCTGCCTGGAAACTGAGAAATGTCCATGGCGTCCAAAAAGTGTCCCTTTTAGGTCAAAAGCGGTTTTAGACCAGCTAGAAAACAGCGATGGTGAATTAGAACCACTTGCAGAATTAAGTGATGATTCGTGGGGAAATTCGTCATCAGACACTGAAAATGATTTTGCGACTAAGATCAGTGGTGTGCGAACTTGGCGCTATATTTCAAATTTCAGTGTTTTTGGTTTATTACATTATTAAATTAAATTTATTATATTATTATTTTTTATGATTATTTATTAAATTATAATTTATGATTTCGTGTTTCAAACGTTATCATACCCGGGATGTTTACTAGACTAGATTTCAGTGAGTTATTCCTAAAACGTACAGGTCTACAATAAAAGACATATTTCCATGCAAAAGAATGTACCACTTTGAGCACAGAAATACTGGCATAATCAGACCGCTAGGGAGGCTACATAAAAAGTCAAAGTCACAAAGTTTTGAAATGCAGTTATTTTAAGTACCTTAAAGTGGTTCTAGAGGCAAAACTTTTTTTCTTACCTTAAAGCGTTACTAAACCCAGGACCCTGCATTCACTATATCTGGTCTCCCACAGTACACACAACATGGAAATTTAATTTATTTATTTCAGGTACTTATATAACGCTGTCAATTTACGCAGCGCTTTACATATATATTGAACATTCACATCAGTCCCTAACCCTCAAGGGGTGTACAATCTAAGGTCCCTAACTCACATTCATACATACACATATTAGGGCCAATTTAGACAGGATCTAATTAACCTACCAGCATGTCTTTGGAGTGAAATGCAATTATTTTAGTAAATATAAACTGCTAATTACCTTTTCTCATCAGCAGTTAGAGCAGTTTTGTGACTTCTGTCAGTGTCCAGCAGAGCACTGGTTAAATCTTGTAGGTGGAGTTTTCTTTCTGCTCTAGGAGGATGCAAAACTCCTGACCGCTGTCTGGACAGTGCTGATTGGCCGTGTTGATCACATGCACTTTCCCAAGAAAAAAACCTCTCTAGCAATACACACTAAACAGAGCATGTGCAGTGTCTCCACACCATATGTCTTATCAGGAGATAAGAGGGAGACACTGGAAGAAGGGGGAAGATCAGAGAAGTCAGGATCAATCCGCCTTTTTGCACAATGCAGAGTATTAACCCTTTAGGTTCCAGAATGAGTATAACAAGCATGCTTTACTGCATATTATTATTATTATTATTATACAGTATTTATAAAGCGCCAATAGTTCGCTCAGCGCTGTACATTACAAAGGGGGACAGAACATGTGATAGAACAATACCAATACAATGCAAAACATGAGGGGATTGAGGGCCCTGCTCTTTCGAGCTTACAATCTAGGAGGGAGGGGATGGTGGCACAGGAGGAGATAGCTGTGGGGGATGGAGTGGTAGGAAGAGTGGAGGAGGTCGGCAGGTTAGCAGGGGTGGGGTAGGCTTCCCTGAAGAGATGGGTTTTCAGGGTGCGCCTAAAGGAGAGGAGAGTAGGTGATAATCTGATGGGTTGGGGCAGGGAGTTCCAGTGGATGGGTGACACCCTGGAGAAGTCCTGGAGGCAGGCATGGGAGGAGGAGACCAGGGAACTAGAGAGAAGGAGGTCTGATGAGGAGCGGAGTGTGCATGCTGGGTGGTACTTGGATATTAGGTCAGTGATGTAGTACGTAAATAACAAAGCTTGACGTCAGTGTAAAAAGCCCACATTTCTAGTACACAAAACAAGACTTCATCAACACAGTGGCTAAATGGTTAGCACTTCCACCTGGCAGAATTAGGGTCATTGGTTCGTATCCCAACCGCAGCAGCACCTGCCTGGAGTTTGCATGTTCTCCCTGTGTCTGTGTGGATTTCCTCTGGGCACTCCAGTTTCCTCCCACACTCCAAAGACATGCTGGTAGGTTAATTGGCTCCTGTCTAAATTGGCCCTAATATGTATATGTATGAATGTGAGTTAGGGACCTTAGATTGTACTCCCATTATACAGACTGATTTTACTGTTGTGGGTTTAGTAACACTTTAGTGCATTCCTTGCATTAAGGTGAACACTGTCCCAGTAATTGTATTGCCCCCTCACATCCCTATATACTTGCCTATCCCGGCTCAGGAGCCAACCTGCAGATGTGCCACCAACTTACTATGGGGCCACACGAGGAGGAACTGAGATTGCTAGCAGGGGACCCCAGAAGAGGAGGTTCGGGGCTGCTTTGTACAACAATATAGAGCATGTATGTATGTCTATTATTTTAGGGAAAAAAAAGCTTTTACAACCACCCTATTTGTATTTATATCAGTCTCTTGTGCTGCCACAGGCATGAACACTCTGGTAAAGAGAGGGGCAGTACTGGGGTCATTCAGACTCTGTGACATACATGCTTACAAGGAACATACTGACCAGAGGAGCGACCAATATTCACCGTGTGGCTCATTGGAAGTCGCACAGCCAGTACCATAGACTCTATGGAGAGGTTGTCTGTTATGCTAAAGGGGAGATTGTAGGGAGGGTGGAGGATGTACAGAGAATCTCCTATATTGGGTAGATAGCTGTAAGAACTTGACAAATCTAACTGCACCATGCTATTAAAACCAAAAATACTGTTTTGGCTGGAGGTACACTGTGAAGCCTAACTTCTAGCAAACCCTTACTTCACAGATTAACCACTTCCATACCGGGTACTTTTACCCCCTTCCTGCCCAGGCAAATTTTCAGGTTTCAGCACTCTCACACTTTGAATGACAATTGCGCGGTCACAACATTGTACCCAAACTAAAATTTTATCATTTTCTTCACACAACTAGAGCTTTCCTCTGATGGTATTTAATCAACACTGGGGTTTATTTTTTGCTAAATTAACAAAAAAAGACCAAATTTTCTTTTTAAAAAAAACATGTTTTTCTTTGTTTTTGTTATAAAAGTTCAAGTTTGCAAATAAATAATTGTTCATAAAATTTAGGACAAAATGTATTTTGCTACATTTCTTTGAAAATAACCCAAATTAGTATTTATTATTTAAAGTTCACAAACCGGGATATATCTGAATATTGATCAATCCTGAAGTACTGATGGGCAATCTAATTTCTTGAGGTCCAAGAATGTCAGAACAGTACAGATATCCCCCAAATGACCCCTTTTTACAAAGTAGACTTTGTACTTCATAAGAGGCATG